AATCAGATAGTTTGTCTTTGTGAAACGAAACAGAAATCTCTTTGTGACCGTGTTAAGTTTCATTACTATCAATAAGATAGAAAAAACGGTGAGAAAACAAAATGTATTGATGAATTTTATGTCATTCAACTTTGACATTAAATCAGTTTATGAGAATCAAAAGTTTTCGAAAGATTTTTCGTCATTCATCTACATACCAGAAATTGCTTCTTATTCAGATTTTCATTCTATAATTTGAAAAAAGACTAAAAAAGTTATTCTAGTTAAACAGAGAGACTATCCTCAAATTGACTGTATCATAAAATGAAGACTCTTCTTTTATTACTATGACTAGCAGTATTTCTAGACATTTAAAACACTGAAATTCTCTTCTCAAGCTATCAAAATTGTTTTGGTTTTCTGAAAACCTTTTCTAATTAAAAATTATGGAAAAATAGAACACAGTACAACGTAGGATATCTTAGGTCAGGATTCGAGTATATCTTGGAAATATTCGCCATAAGATTGACTCCAAAAGAGATCGCATTGGCTCCAAGTAGAACTCGACGAGCTCTATCGACTACAATAATTACTTTCTCCAAAGCTCCCCCTCAAATCGGAGAAAAGTACACAATACTGCAAAAAAATGCTAAAAAAACTCATATCGTTTAGAAAGGTCCATCGCGATTCGCTCCTGAGTGGCTCCCACAAAAACCAAATATATCAATCGACAGATCTCGACGAGCTCTATCAACTCCACACCCAACTATTTCAATTGGACTCAACCATTAATTAGGAAGCCGCCACTAATTTCTTTCATCTTTCCCACCTTGGCGATTCGTCCATCAATTGGCTCCAACAAAACTAAGGATACCATCCGATAGATCTCGACGAGCTCTATCTAATCCACACCTCACTCGACAAATTCGAGAAAGTCTTTGCCAAGAAAATTGCTAATTACTTCTATAGCTGCTATACTCATATATACACATAGGATAATTTCCGAAAAATTTTTTCTCACTC